AAGCAACAAGCGCGCCCAGTGTTGCAGACCCACTGTGACCTGGAGGGTTCGTCAGTGGGATTTCATGGACGATCGGATGAAGAGAAGGAGACTTAAAGTCCTTTTAGGGGCAAAACCAAAGGAATTTGGGGGGTTTGAAGTGTGTGTGTGTGTGTGTGTGTTTACCTTGTACCAGCTACTGCACCATCATTCTTTCCCAGGGGCTCGTCTAGCTCCACCCCGCACCACTCCCCCTTGGCGAAGTCCGTCTCCCCCATGTATCGTATGACCCCCATCTTTGAGCCTCCGACCTGACGACGGAGAGAGAAAACACTCGGCTGTCAAACTTTTCAAAGATGAAAAGAAAACAATTGAATGAAATCCCGTTAAGCTGCTGACGAAGAATATCTTCAACATATTTTTACCTTCCTGAGGAACATTCTCACTTTGCGTCTGGTAAAATACTTTACTTCTGAAAATAGTTTGTTTTACACACCACATTTCCCATAATCCTCTTTGCTTCTGTAACCAAGACGATGCTGCAGATTTTCACTATTTCTCCAAATGTCTCTGTTACGTAGATTTCCACAAAAGACATTTATTATCATTCACAGGTAAACGGGCTGGTGTGCACGCGTGTGAAGATATGACACGTGTGTTCTCGCTGATTGTCAACGTGAAGTGTGTGTGTGCGGAGGATCCAGATGTGCCCGAGGGTAGAAACTCGTCTTGAGTCTCGGCCATGTGACCAACAGTGCGTCGGGCTGTGAAGTGTCCCCTCATGATGTTTGGTGCTGTGAGCCTCGACCTCCTGGTGGAGGCGTCGCTCAGGGTGAGAGGAGGTGCTCGTTTAAAACTGAAGAGCAGAGTTTCAAAAAGAATGTGAATCATCAGCTCCCTCATATATTTAAGGTGCCACATCTGCCCAGTCAGGCTCAGTCAGACGGTTTCCTGTTAGTAAGTCTAAAATACACACACACACACACACAAAGCTGACTAATCCATGTGCTGAATGTCTTCCACACATGGTGACCACATGTATGAGACGTGTGCAAACATCTCACTGCTCAGTTTTTCCTGAAACCTTCACCGTCACCGAAATAAAACACTGACACATGAGATAATGTATTGATTCACTTCGATTGATTCAATTTACTGCTGGTTACTTTTATCTGCCTGCAGCTCTATGAGTAATAGATTACATTTAAGTCTTAATAGATTACTGTGATCCCATTCCCACGGTCAGACGTTGAATGAATGTACAGAAGGAGCAACAGATGTTTTCCCACAACATCTTACTACAGATAAGAATTTAATACCAATAATTTATTTAATCCGTTAAGAACCATTTAAAATAAAAGTTCCCTTCCAGCTGCTATTTATAAACACACAGAGGCCAAAGAGGAAAGTGTTGAGTCACTGGACGTTAACATGCGACGGTTTTCTGTCGGCACGACTGTGAGATGTCTCGGTGACTCAGTGTCAAACTACCAGCCGTGCTGAGAGAGTCAGGTCAACACCAGCATCCATCTTGGCTCCTGTTGTTTCCAATCCAATCTAAAAGCTGCAATAAAATGATTCTACGAGGGATAAATCCTGGAGCAGGATCCTCTGGGTTCAAAAAGACACTGTGGTGAATATAAACTGCTCGTGACGTGTGACTGGTGAATCTGGTAAAGATGAAGATGACATCTCTACTTCTATTGTTTGGGAAAAGTGACGACATCGTTTCCTGGCTTCCGTTTTTTTGCGGAGCTGTCATGTCGTCCATCTTTTTGCACAGTCAGTGGGAGGTGGAATGAGGTAATAAATTATTCTGCGACATGATACAAGTCTTTGTTATTCCGTCTTCACACAACTGATTCTAATACGACTGTGTTGTGCCTGATGGGAACATTTCACTGACTCACGGCCGTTTCAGTGGCTTTCAAAGTCTCCAAATAAACACCAGACCTATCACATGCAACCCCGCTGAAAGAAAACGCTTCATTTAACCTCTAACAAACTCTGCGGACGGCCTCTGGACATTTTTCTGTTGTTCTCTTTTCTAATTTCTCTCCAGAAACGTCAAATGTTGACCTCGGCATCAAGATAAACTCCTCTGCCCTGGATTTCTTTGGTGCGGGGACATAAAAATGTGATGTGAAGCTGCTTATTCTCTTTGTGCATATTTCACTAATTTTTCAGGCAGCGTTGTGTTTCCAGCAGAAGAGGAGGATCCGAGCCACCGCAGCGAGATAGATTACACGGGAGAGGCTTTGGAAAGAGATGGATTCAGTGATCAATGTGTCAGCAGCGGTCTCCCTTCTCTTAAGTGCTGAAAGTAATCCAGAGTGATTTACTATATTGACCAGCAGGAAGGCTCCTCCAGCTCCCTCCCCCTTTTCCAACTGCACAGGATCTGATGTAACTATCCCCCGTGCCCGGCAGTAAACGGAGAGCAACGTGACCCGGGGGCCAGTAATACACCGCGGTTAACACGTCACACACTAATGGGAGAATAAGCAAAAACAAGTGGATATGAGTGTTATTCCTCCAGACGTGTCCGTGGGCTTCAAACCTGCTTCATGTTTCGCTGCATCAATTCATCTCGACTGAAACATGCATGAAATTGTAATTAGACATCAGACTCTGAAACACCAACTGTATGGAATTACTAAAGAATGACTCGATAAATAAACTTTAATATAAAATAAAGTTTATATTTCAGTTTTTATCTACCTTTGTGTTACATCTATCTAGTTCCAGAAACCTCTGTCTGTCTGTGATTCGCATATATTGAAAACAGTTCATTTCACGAGCTTCGCACTCGGCATGTTCATCGCTGAGGGCCCGAGGGAGTGCAGTGTTGAATTTGGTGCGTTTTGAATAAACTGAGGAAGAGTTCAACGAGTGAACAGCTACACTTAAAGTTTCTGAGGGGTCAAGGTTACAGTGATGGAACAAATAATTAAAAAGTCTTAACGTCACTCACCAAAACTCGATCTCCAACTCGAAGATCCTTGTCTCCACCTTTCTTTACTGAGCCGCTGTCGGACATGTTGGACCCCGACTCGTTGCCCGTTTTCACGGCGCTGTTGAGCAGGCCCTCTCTGAGGGGCACTACCACCCGCTGGCCAGCGGGGGCTCCACCGCCACCCTGCTGAGTCTGATTCTGGGCAGAGAGTGAGTCAGTGGAGTGGCTGTCGCTCCCCTCTCCGACCGGCTGTCGTGTGAGCTTGGAGGGTCGCGTGAAGATGCCCTGGAGGGGCTGGCACTCGAAGTAGCGCACGCCACCCACTGAACCATCGTTTTTGCCAACTAGGTCATTCAGTATTACGCCTGCCCACTGTCCCGGGGCAAACTGGGTCTCCCCGAGGTAAGCAATAACTCCTAGTTTGACACCGTTGACCCAGACCTGCTCGCCCACCGTGTAGTCGCCCAAAACATCGTCGCCCTCCTCAGAGATCCTAGTCGGTGTGGTCGGCTTCAGGGGAGGGTCTGAGGAAGAAGAGAAACATAATGTGTTTGTTTCAGGGAAAATTAAATGTTCACATAAGAAAAACCAACGTAGGAAAAATGTAAGTGCAGGGAAATGAACCAGTTTTTCCTCTAATCATCACTTTCTCTCAGATAAAAATGTTCCTCTCTGGAGCTTCAGGTCGGAAACACTGCGCACATTGTGAGAAGAACATCCTCATTCACAGTCCGGCAGAACCGCCCTCACACCGTTCATCCTGTTTGACCGTGTTTAAAAAACCATGCTTGTGCGGCAGCATCCGACACAACAGTGCAGTTTGTGCACGATTAGGCATCGTTACTCTAATTCCTCCAGAAAAGTGGGTCAGAGAGAGACGGTGTCTGTTCTGTGCCGGTGATTAACCCCACCATGCCGCCCTGCGATATCGCCCGTTTGACACACAGATGAGCTGGAGCTCTGTGTTTTTCCACAGCAGCCTGTAAACTGAGCAGGGCACCATTAGCACGCGGTCTGCCGCACCACACTGCCTGTAAAAGTCTGCTGCGTTTATCTGTGTGTGTGTGTGTGTGTGTGTGTCTGCGCAGGGATGGATGGTGCCAGGGCTGTCTCTCCGACACCCTGAGAGGGGGCCGGAGGCTTCGTGGGCCCCTCTACTCGTGCTTTATGCCCCAATTGCTCCCATATGTTGTTGACGTGAGTCACATTCTGCAGAAATGTAAACGGGTACAAGTTCAAATGGGGTTTTAACTTGATGATAGAGTGCGTGTGCTATTTCTTCAGGAATGTGGTTGCTCATGTGGAAAACACTGCAGGTCAAACAAGTCCACAGTCTCACATGCAAAGATATCGACGATCACAACACGGCAGCACTCAGGTTCCCTCGTTGATCGGCCACGGGTCAGAATGGATGTCCGATGTGTAGCATCAGGATGAGGTCGCTCTGTGTTTGACCCCGGCAGTTTGTGTGCAGCTGGATCCAGTTCCAGCACCAGAGATGGTTTGAAGACGCGTCTGAGGAACGTTCACGTTCACGAGGTCACGATCTGATGTGTTGACGAGGTTGAACACTTGACGTAGCAGCTGCTAACAGGTGAGCACACAGATCTGTCGTCGTTAAAGAGAGACGCAGCTGCAGCCTCATCTTTATTTGTTGTCGTCTGGATCCTGAAACTACGTTCAGATACTCTCCAGACTGTTTTTTAATTTCAAACCAGTCGTTACGTTTCAAATATGAACTTTCCCTCCCCGTGTTCCATGATCGCTCGTGAGCGTCACCGGAGCAAGACGGCAGCGCCCGTCTCAGGGATGTTTGGGTTTAACTCTTGTACAGCAGGTTTTGAGTCAGATCTGAACAGTGAACATTCGTCTCTGTAGTTATTTTAACGTTGATTATTTGAAGGGTTAAACTGATGCCACACGTGAAGCAGAGCAGCATTTAAAAACCAGAGCGAACCCATGATTTGTGTTGCTGGGGCAACAGGAGAGCGAGGGTAAAAGGATCCTGGGCAGAAGGAAGACTGGAAACACAGGCCTTACTTTCACTATTGTGTTTGTCCTGCACCTCCCACCACCATCTGAATCCCACTATTCATCAGCTCGGCACAATGAAACCTCCACAGCTTCCTCCTCCTCCTCCTCCCCCAATTATCCCCTCATCTCTCCCTACTTTGGTTACACACACACACACACGTCTTTCCGTGGCCTCTTTAACTCTGTTTGTTTGTGATTATTTTCCACAATGACAATGATCATATAACCTCTCGTCTTTGTTTTAAATGGAGTTTATCACTCGAGGTTGATCTCGTGTCTTCAGCAGCTGCGTCGAACATCTGAGCAGCACGGACAGGAACAGATGGAGGGGGCTGAGCCTCCATGTTTTCCACTTCTTTCAATGACTTGCTCCTTTTAAATGCACTTGTGCCTTTGGGCAAATCTGAGTGTACTCATAAAGGAAACCAACGCAACATCAAGAGTTGTAATCATTCATATGCAGAACATACGGCAAGTAATCCACGATTTAATGCTGTGAAATTACAATTTCATCCTGTAAGAAAAGAAAAGAATTGACTTTTTCTATCTCACATCATTCACACGCTGCCGGTACAACTGGAGGATTCAGTGTCTCGCCTGCGGACCCGTTCTCCCTCCTGAGCCACAGACGCTAAAATAACAGAGAAACGATCTAAAGCTTCAATAGATCAGAACAATATATTTCTCACTTCTCACATATGATGTCATATGATCAGTGATGTCGTGAGGAAGTCAGAAAATGACGTCATGCGTAGTTCAAAGATGCATTTATAGGATGCAGGTATTTCTGTGTCACACAACCTGCATAGACAGGAAACAGTGGCCCTTTGTTACCCCCCCCCCCCGAGACCCTCGAACGGAGAAGCCATATAGATGATGGCAGGAATGACATCATCATTAAGTCACTATGAAGTCAAAGAATGACGTCATATAAGATTAGAGACAGGAATTAGCTTTAACAATAATTCTTCATCATATGGTGCAAATGATGACGTCATAGTGAAACAGCGTTCAGTGATCACTTTTGTTTTGGGATCAAATTCTCACTATCAGCGGTCGATCACTGTACAGGAAGTAGCTTCTGTATGATAGAACCGGGGCTCTGGCCCCTTCTCACGGTCCTCTCGGCAAAAACCAACAAACCAGCGGGTGAGGTTCGGAGCAGGAGGCCAGGTCAGTGTTGAGACGATCCCTGGCAGGAGAATAATCCCTCTGTGAACTCACTGCGGATTTGGCACCGTCAGATATCCTCTCAGTGTTTTATGGACAACTTCACAAGACGCGGCCATGAATTCATCGTTATAATCATAGAACACAGCATCTTCGTAATTAAAACAGGTATTTGAGTGATCGACCAACAGAAACATTTACACCAGGAGTTTGTCAAACTTATTTAAAGACTAAAATCCTCCGTGGAAATGTTTAATCATTATCGATCATACTTCAAACACAGAGGATCTTCCCGTCAGTCTAATAAATGATAACACTGTGACGGGCATGTTCACAGGACTGGGAACTGAGCGCAGCGAGTACATCCATGGAGCCTGTTAATAAACAGGATGTGAGCAAACTACTGAGCTCACCAACGGTCCAAACAATACACAGCAAGAGTTTAGATGAGCGGCGGTCACATTGACGACAGCAACAGCTGACGAGGACGGGGCCGCAGGCTGCGACATGAAGGGATTAACGTTTTGAGCTGGTAATGGACGAGTTCAGGATGTTACGCCCGCCACACGCAGAGAGAAACAAAAATGACCTTCGGGGTTTATAAACTCGGGACAGAGGAGAGAAAGCAATCTGGGTTAACTCTCTTTCACAATGGTTCTTAAAGGCTTCAACAAACCACGGAGAGAATGTTTCTACTATGATGAGACTGCTCACAGATTTACAGGCATCATCTTAAAACTTGGGCATTTCTTCTTCTTCTTCTTTTTTCTTGTTCATCATTTAAACCAGGTGCAAACAATCGTTTTTTATTCGTTTTCAAGATTTTGAAGATGTCTTTCTTTAATCCAACACTCAGCCAGTAGAAGGTTTACATCCCAGCTGCATGAACTGCAGGAGGACAGATGTCACTTGCAAGTAGTTTTAATACTATTTAATACTACACAGATTATACTGCCCCTGTGATACCATTACTAAACATAATACCAAATAGAATTGCACTCAGTGGAGCGTATACCTCCGCCAAGGTCCAACAGTCCCCTAAAACTGAATCAAGCTGCATATCTAAGTCCACATTACTTTATCTCAGCGACACATTGGTGGTTTTACAGGTTTGTAGCTGCATTTGTTATCGTAGAGTGGCTGAAATAAAGCCACACGCCTCATTTAAACCCACTTTATCTGCACCAAATGGGAGATCATGTCAGACCTGTGAAAACGTCAAAAAACATCAAATCTTGCAAAGTTCAGTTGATCCATGTTCCAATCAGAGGAGGTAATAACGCTGTCGGCTGCACTCACGTCATCACAAACAGCGTAAGATTCATTTCTCTCTGTGTGAGAACTTGTGAAGCTATAATTGTGTGGTTTTTTTTTTTTTCACTTTCTTCGCTCTCATGAAATTCCACATCCGACGTGAACCATGATTCACTTGTAGCTGTCGCTAATAAAAGGCTCTCACACATACAACAAGAGCATTATCAGTCACAGAAGGGGACTATTCTTGCTTCAGCTGCAAGTGAAGCTATAATTTAGCAGAAACAGAACTAACGTGTGTGTGTGTGTGTGTGTGTGTGTGTGTGTGTGTGTGTGTGTGTGAGAGGGGAGGACAAACTGTGCGGTTGCATTTCAGGGTGAGAACAGCTGTGATTACTTTTTGCAGACGGGTTGTCATTTTGATTTGAGTGTTTTTTTTAGAAATGTCTGATTGTGGTCTGTGCTGTGTTTCAGTAGCTAAACATCAGTAAGTCCTGTTCCTGATGAATGATAACTCTGATCATATCTTGTATTTCTGTGATTTTAAGGACAGAAGCCAACAAAGCTTTACTTACTCCCTCAATACTTTCCATCTTTCTTATCCTGCATCTCAAGCACCTCCACTTTGTGATATTTCCTTCCTAATAAAGATGCAAATCTTTGAAAACAGCTCAGGAATATTCTGTTTTTCAACGTTTTCCTAAAACATCTGGGCACTGTAGTGTCATTTTCCTCAAATAGGAGTAAACGTGCATTTCTTGAGGACGGTTCTCTGCTGTGGATGCACACACTGGTGATTTTCAGCAGCAGGACTGTGTCTGTGGAGCTGAGTCAAGACAAACTACAGTCTCCCTGCCCATTAACTGCATCGGGCTCCAGTCGGGATTTAGACAGAAAAAAAAACGCAGCTCGAGTTGTTGCTGCACGTCCCAGTTTCGGAATCCTTTAGCGTGAAATACAACTTTCAAATGTTGAGCGGTAGACATTTTGTTGTTAACTGGAGTTTGAGGTTGCGACTGGCTAATTGTAGGCAGCCAGAAGTGTGTGGGGGGAGCTGCCACCAGAGTTAAAGTGTAACGTTAATTAGACATGTGTGGTGATGTTAATGTTGCCTGTGAGCAGAGCGACTATTTCAGTTCAGAGGTCAGGAACCGAAATAAGGCACAGAAATCTGTGCTGTGGTTAGGAACCAGGTTTCTGAACCATAACAATTAGTGACGGTAAACGTGAACTAACTCCTGATCAAGAGAACGCAGCACACAGATCTGCAGGACGTTGAATTCCTTCAGAACCAGTTACTGTTCTCAGAACTGTGCTGATGGAGATGACTGATGACTGTGTGCGTTTATAATTAATGGTGATGTGGCATAATGGGAACAGGATTCTACTGGGAGATAACACAAAAGATTTCTGCTGGTCCTTGTCAAAGTTCTGTCTTTTCTCCGACATTTCCATAAAACTACTTTCCAGTTCCAGCTACGAGAATTCACATTTGTTTAACTTTAGAGAGAAAAGCTGCGGTGCAAGAAGAAGCTAAAGAAAACACTCCCCGGCTTCTGTGTATGATCTAACGCAGTCCAGCTCCAGTGAGTCATTAACACAAGTACATGGTCTGACCCACTTCCGGTGATGAGAAGGAAAAAGTGGGGGGAAAGAAATTCCTCGTCTTCCACGGGGTCAGGAGGAGGAAGTGACTTACTGTCTTTGGAGACGACGGGGCTGGACGCTGCACCCGCTGAGGTCCTCCCCACTGGGCTGGAATGCTTGGGCCCGCGGCCAGGGATTTTCAGTCCGCTGGACTTGAGCATGTTCATTCTGTGGCGGGGAGACGGCCGGGACCTGAGAGCTCCTCCCTGGCTGATGAAGGCTTGCGGATCAGGCACTAGATGTGGGAGTGGTGGCTGTCGGTCTCCATGTTTGGCTGACAGGAGGGAGAGAGAGAGAGAGGAGGGATAAGGACGTCGCACATATGGGAACAATTGACAGAACATGTAAGAGGCCAAGAAGGAAAATGCTTCAAGTGGCCACATGTGTGTCAAACCTCCACATCTGTATGACTGGACCAGACTGGAAGAGGAGAATGGAGGAGGACACGGTGCAAAATATTTATCTCTGAGTTTGTTTGGTCAGAGGTGAAAACACAACCTCGTGGGAGGAGGTGACAGGATTTGTTTACATGTATGAGTCAGATGAATCTCACCATCTCATTAGGATGAGTAACACTTTGCCTTGTGGGTTTATTCCTGGCTACGAATATGTTCTCATGTCTGTCGGTTGCTCATTCCAGAAACTTATTAGATCTGTGCTGTATTCCCACATTGTTATACCAGACCGCTTCTGTTGTGCCCCTGAGCAAGGCAGGGGAGCCTCAGCTCAGTAATCATCAACCTCAGGCCGTGTTAGCACAGAGAAACTCCAACAGACCAAAGATCACACAGGTTTAGTCTGTGTTACCTCCACAAAGGTTATGTTTTCAGCCCCACGTTGGTTCGTTTACTTCTTGTTTCTCAGCAGAATCACACAAAACCTACAGAACACATTCACACTGAACTTGGCCGGAGGAGGAGACGAGGGCTGAAGAAGAACACATCACATTTAGGAGCAAATCCAGGTGTGTGTTATCAATTTCTTTACATTGTAGGTTATAACCGGTTTTATGTTTTCACCAATAACTCAAGGTTCTTGAGGAAAAAAAACAATCTGGCATATTTCGGAGACTGATATCTCGGAGTATTTGGTGCTGAGTGGACGTATGCACATCGAGTCACTTTCTACTTTCTTTTGTTTGTTTGCATGAAAAGACTACTGAAGGATTTCCACGAACCTTGTGTAAGCATGAAAAGAATCCATTAAATTTTAAAGCAGACAGACAAATGCCTTGACGGAGGTACTGTAAGTGCTCTATCTAGTGTTTTCAACCCTTTGTCTGTCTTTAAACGGGATTATGCAAAAACTACGGAACTGATTTAATTGATTTAAAGGTTCAGTGTGTAGAATTTAGAGACATCCAGTGTTGAAGTGTCACGTTGCAGCTGATCACCCCTCACCTCACCCTCCTCTTCCAAACATGAGAGAGAACCTGTATAAACCTTCAGGTGATGTTTAGTTTGTCCGGTCTGGGCTACTGTGAAAAAACATGGCGGCCTCCGTAGAGAGGACCCGCTCCTGATGTAAACATTAAGAATTTAAATACAAAGACACGTCAGTGAAAACATCACTTAGTTTATATTGAATTTCTGCCAATGGATCCATTTCACCTAAATCTTACACACTGGACCTTTAAGGCAATAATTCATCAATAATGATAAAAATGATCAAATAACTGGGCTTCGGTGCACTGATGATATTTTGGACTTTTCTTACATTACTTTGATTCAGTTGGACAATTAAACACCTGAAAACCCATCTGCATATATTTAAAATCATGCTGTCACAATAAGACTGATGCTGTTTTTAATCATTAGTCACAGCGGATCTACGATCATTAATAACACCACACTTCTTCATGCATGTCTTTTCATGCTCAACTTATCAATTTCCACACGCAGGCTGTGAATATGACTGAAAACCACAATGTAGGCCGGTGCCACAGTGGAGCGTGGCCTGCAAACCACTGCAGAGACCATCAGGAGGATATAACACTAATACAGCTGATGATAAACAACACACATCTGGATGGGGCTTTCTAACTGGACCCTGGGTATTAGGGGGAGAAAAGAGGCAGATTTCAGGCATCTCACATGCAGATAATGACATTTTACATTTTTAAAAGCAGTGAAAAGCTGCTGAGCCAGTGGGTGATGATGGTTGTACGTGTGGTTTAAGGGAAAATGAGGCCTCAGCGTGGTTTTCACACACACAGGCCTCATGCATGATGATCCCAGTGAAAGCAGGGTGAGGGGATGATGATGCACCTCCACTAAATGCAACACAGTTTGATCCATTGTTGTAGCTGCTGCTGCGACAACGTGGTCCAGGCTTCCCCTCCTGCGCTTCTCCTCCAGCACAGAAACAAAACAGCACAATAAACCTCATGCACGCTTCATGCACACTCACCTGCGTGGTTTGTTCGATTTAAAGCCGCAACTTGGGAGTTTGTCCCCGGGATGAGGAGGAGGAGGAGGAGGAGGAGGAGGCTGCCACTCCCTGGGCTGCAAATATGGATGCTGATGCAGAGAGCCGAGGGGCAGAGCCGGCGTGGATCTCCAGCGGGTGATGGGAGCAACCGCAGCCGGGTCAGCGACGCTGGGAGCGGTCGCAGCTGCCGGTTCACTCCCCGGGAGGAGAGGCAGAAAAAGGGGCGAGGGTGGCCGACGTGTAGCGGTGTTCAGAGTGGCCCG